ATAGAATGGGGAGGTGCCAGGCAGACCACGGCCCGACGGGCTGCGGGCAGAGCGCGGCGCGCGCCGCTGGCCTGCTGGACAGCGGGCGCACGAGACCAGGTAGGCTGGCGCCCAGGGCGGGAGCGCCGCCTCATGCTGCTGTCCAAATTGATCATCTGACAAAGACCCTCACGGGCAGTGAAAACATCATGACGGGAGGCTGTTCTTTTTTTGTTCGGCCGGGGGAACTGGGGAGGCCCCTCCTGGGCCTCGGGACCGTCAAAAGACGAATCGGGATGAAAAACAGGTCCCGGGCAATGGGTCGAGAGACCTGAGGGTCGACGCGATATAAAAAAACGACGTCGAAGGTCTGGGGAGGCGGCCGCCTTCCGCCCGCGCCAGCGCCCGGGCCGGCAGGCCCAACTCCACTGCCCCTGGACGGCTGCGAGACGCGCCAAGCCTGGCGGGCCCGACCCTGGTCAGTCTGCAACCTGTCGGCCTTAGCCCGGGCCCTGACGCCGTGGTCGCGCTGCCCCAAGTCGCCGATCGCCCAGGAACTGCCGGCAACCTCGCAGTCCTCGGCGGGGCCGGCCTCGGGGTCGCACGCGGCCCAGTGGCCATTGTTCTAGGCGACGCGCCAGCACCACGCGTGCCAAGGCTCTGAGAAACCGTGGCCCGCATCCTTCTGGACGCTCGGCACGAGACTGCGAAGTCTCCCCGGGCCAGTGGATCCACCGGGGCTCGGCGCGGGGCCGGGCTTTGCGCACGGGCTCTCGCACTCGGCGCTGCGGCCGCCGGCGCCATCCGAGCCCCAGCTGCGCCAGTGGCCGCGGGAGCGGGGGGCGCCCCCGGACTCGGCGGCCCCTCCGCTGATCTGACCCCGCGGCCGGCGTCGGTCTGCTCGGGGCTGCTCTGCCCAGGAGCGCAGCTTCCCAGATAGGGGGCCACATGCGAACCCTACCCCTACCCCCCACGATTTCTGAGGGGGAGGGTGGGGTTCACTTCGCTCTTGAGCTCCTGGACGAAGTGAACCCCGCCCTCCCCCTCAGAAATCGTGGGGGGTAGGGGTAGGCATCGGATGTGGCCCGCTGCCAGAGACTCCGGCGTCTCCGTCAGGCGCGGGCGGCCCTGGTGCCCCGGAGCCAGAGCCCGGGGGGGGCCCTCTGGCGGGGCCCCAACTTGGGGAGCCCACACAGGACGCACGCGCCCAGCTATGCACCTGAACACGGCCCCTCGACCCGCGAGACTGACCGCATGATACGCACATTCGGACCATGCGTACTCTCGAAGCCAGCATGGCTTCATGTACGTGCACGTCCTTCTTTCGCTCCTGACAACTGGTCGACTGGGGGATCGACTACGGACTTGATTTACCCCAAAATTGATTTTCACGTCGACTCTTCAACAAAAACACCTCAACCATTCGTAGACCTGCGGAAGTTCTACGAATTGCCCGTGGATTCGACAAGCAAAATCCACTCTGGGGCAACCCAATTCTGTAGTCGATCTCCTACTCGAACTGGGGGCCCGCGGCTGGGCGGGCGGGCCAGCCCGGGCGGCAGCCCCCGCAGGCGGGCGCGGAGCGGGGGCCGCAGGCGCCCCCCCCCGGCGCCCCCGGGCGGAGCGAGCCCGCTTCGTCTGCGACGGGGCCGGCTGGCTGGCAGCGGTGGGGCCGTCGCCGGGGCGCTCGCCGGCCGCGCCCCCGCGGGCGCCGGGCGGCCCCGGCGCGGCCCCTGCCTTGGCGGCAGGCGCTTTCGCCGCATCGCGGGGCAACTGGCCAGGCGGCGGCAGAGGCGCCAGAGGCGGTGGGGCCCGCGCAGGAAAGCGCCTGCCTTGAGATCCGACGCAGCGAAGAAAAAGCACCATCGGAAACAAAGAACATTGTTTTATCGATCTATATAAATATATATATATATATATATATATATATATATATATACACATACATATATATAAACATAAACATACACATAGAAATGTTCCAGGAGCCCTAGACAACCACATCTTCCTGCACAATTGTTCGAACCCGCTCGATCTGCGAGGGCCCTGGGGCCCGACAAGGGGCGAACACGCCCGGCTCGAAAAAGCTGCGGCGCCAGGACACCCAGACCCCCGACGCCATGCTTTTTTCATGACGTCGACCCTCGAGGTCTCGACACGCTCCCCGGGACCAGCTTCTCGTCCTGAGTCGTTCTTTGACGGTCCCGAGGCCCGGTGAGGGCCCCAAAGGCCGAAAATATGGAAAAAGCTCCCGTCGTGATTGTTTCATTGCCCGAGGAGGAGGAGGAGGAGGAGGAGGAGGAGGAGGAGGAGCAGGAAGAGAAGGGGGAGGAGGAGGAGGAGGAGGGAGGAGGAGGAGAAGGAGGAGGAGGAGGAGAGGAGGCGGAGGAGGAGGCGGAGGCGGAGGCGGAGGCGGAGGAGGAGGAGGGGAGGTCCAGGCCTCAGGGAGGCGCGGCGGCGCGGAGCGCAGGCCGCCAGGGGCGGGGCCCGCCGGCGGGGCGCCGGCGGGCCGCCGGACCCGCGAGGCCCGCCCGCGCACGGGCAGGCGCGCGCCCGCGGCGCCCGCCCTCGCGCGGCGGGGCTCCAGGCGCCGCTCCTGCGCCGCTCCTGCGTCGCTCCTGCTGGATTCCGTTGGTCCAGAGGGCCAAAAACCCCTATGCAAGCCCGACCGCGCCGCTCCTGCGTCGCTCCTGCTGGACTCCGTGGGTCCAGAGGGCCAAAAGCCCCCATCCCTCCTGGTATCCTTTTCCTGGCGGGCGTGCGCGGCCACAGACACTGTGAAACTGCAGCGCCGAGGACTGCTTGGCGCACCTCACCGCAAGTTGGTCTGCTCTGCCGCCTGATGGACAGGAATGGTGTGCACAAATCGTGCGCCTGCTTGTGGTGAAGTGGGCCTGGGGGCCTGTGAGCGCCCTGCAGGACGCGCCCAGAGATCCGACGCGTTGAAAAACATCAGGACGGACCTTTTTCGCAGACTTCGGTCTCCATGGGGCCCTCGCCGGGCCTCGGAGCCGTCAAGGAAAGACTCGGGATGAGAGACCGGTCCCCAGATTAAGGGGTCGAGACTTCCGGGGGCCCCGCACTGAAAGAATCACGACGTGGGCTCTCAGGAGATCGCACGCCAATCACACTCTCCACATGTTCTCCTTCTTCGCACTGGTCGCTGCCTTGCCCGACTCCGCCCCGGCGGGCGGCCGAGCGCCGGCGGAGCCCCCTGCGGGGCGCGCCCGCCGTCGCTCGCGCGAGGGAGCCACGGCACTCCCAGCCATATCCCCACTGCCCCTCGCGCACAGAGCACAGGCACGGTAGCGGGACGTGCCGAAGGCCACTAGGTGCCGTTGTACTGGCAACGTGTAGGTCCCTGCTTGCGAAAGCGAGGCAGGGCATGCTCAGCACGCGAATGCTCTGCAGACGAAGATGCTTGAACAAAAACCCGAGAAGTCTTTGCATCATGCTGTCCTTCCTCCTTCTCCTCCTCCTCCTCCTCCTCCTCCTCCTCCTCCTCCTCCTCCTCCCCCATCCCTTTCCCTTAGCAATAGTTCCTTGCCGCCGCAACATCAGACGTGTCGGTAGGGCGGGCCAGGCGTTTCGCCTGAGACTTCCTCACCATATCTGATCCCGAAGCTTGACTTGTACGACAAGGTCACGGCTGGAGGGCGGGTCCTGTGCAAAGCGTGGCACCCGCCGTAACGCCGCGCACACTCGTCTCAAAAAACTTTCAAACCGGTTTACGGATGGAGGGCCGGCGGCTTTCAATTTCTAGCCGTCGCCTTAGCGCCGCGCACATTCGTGTTTACAAATTGCAACAGCTTCAAAAATGAAGGACAGGTAGTTTTCAAAATGTGGCTCTCGCCTTAGCGCCGCGCACACTCGTCCTCAAAGTCTGACATCAAGGATGGAAGACGAGTCCTTTTCAAAGTGCGGCTCTCGCCTTAGCGCCGCGCGCATGGGTCCTAAAGATTGCAAGCATTACACAAAGATTCAAACAGTTGAAGCCCGAGGAATTGTTGCAACCGTCACACTCATTCGCAGCGATTAAATTATGATAGCGGTGTTTTGGAATGGTTGAGGATTATCAAGCGAAAACTCAATTCTTCTAGAGACATATCAGAAGGGAACTTTGAGGGGGGTCATGGCAACATCGTTGATGCGTCCTGGGTTAAAATTGGTCATCCTCTTCCGTTTCCCCCTCCTCCTCCTCAATCTCTCTCTCTGATAGCTAACTCCTCCCTGCCGCACCCCGAGACGGGTCGGCAAGGCGGGCTGGGCGTTTCGCCTGAGACTTCCTCACCGTCCATGATCCTGAAGCTGAGACTTGGCAACAATTCCACGGATGGAGGACGGACCGTTTTCGAAGTGCAGCTCTCGCCTGAGCGCCGTGCGCATTCGTCTGGAAAGTGTGCAGGAGCTTCCCGGATGGAGAGCGGGACGTTTTCAAAATGCGGCTCTCGCCTTAAAGCCACGCACCCACGTGTTGAAAGGCTGCAAAAGCGTCACGGATGGAGGGCGGGACGTTTGTAACTGCAGTTCTCGCCTTAGCGCAGCGCACACTCGTCTCGAAAGTTTACAATAGATTCGAGGACTCGTATCGCTGACGTTCCAGAAATTGTGCTCTGGCACGATTCAGGATTGTGAAGACGCGACAGTCACGTTGATTTGTGGTGTTGGAATCCCAGGAATGGCATTCTGGCACGAAGTCCCAGGAATGGTGCTTTCAGAAGATTGCAGATCTTCATCTTCAGCTGGTCGTCTGCCGACGGAGTACTTCCCGCAGTCCAAATACAACGTTGCAGAAACCTGATGGAACTTGGAGGGAGGTTTTCTTACAACATCGTTGATGAACCTTAGGTTTACACTCCTCCTCCTCCTCCTCCTCCTCCTCCACATCCTCCTCGTCCCTCCACAATCCTCCTCCTACTCCTCCTTCTCCTCCTCCTGCTCCTCCTCCTCCTCCTGCCCCTCCTCGGCATCCTTCTTCTCATCCGCCCACCGCGGATCTCAAGCGCCCTGCGCGGGCGCACTGGTCCCGCATCTTGCGGTAGAACACGCCGACGGCCACGCCGAACAACATGTAGGTCTTTGGCAGGAGGCGGGGGCAGGGGAGCCACAGGGGGAGGGGAGGGGGACTGTCGAGGAGGAGGCGAAGACGTATGCGAAGGGAGGGGGGGAGAAGGAGAGCGCGTGGGAGCGGGAGCGGCGGCGGCAGCGGCATCGGGAGTGGGGCCCGGAGTCGGTGCTGGAGTGGGCGCGGCACAGGGAACGGGAGGGCGAGTGGGAACCACAGCGGAGGACAAGGGGGAAGCGGCACAGAAGACAGACGCAGACGTCCAGGCATCGGTCGACTGGGGGATCGACTGCGGAATTGATTTGGCCCAGAATTGATTGTCACGTCGACTCTTCAACAAAAAGACGTCAACCGTTCGTAGACCTGCGAAAGTTCTACGAGTTGCCCGCGGATTCGACAAGGAAAATCCATGCTGGGGCAAAGCAATTCTGTAGTCGATCTCCTGCTCGAATCAGGGCGCACCAGCACCCGCACGCCGCTGCGGCAGCGGGCCGCACGGCCGCAGGACTGCCCGAAGCCACGTCCCCGCGCGACCGCCCGGGGGTCCGACGGGAAAAAGGGCAGGGCATGCCGCAACTGGCCGTGCAGGAGCGCGCGCGGGCCCAGTGGCCACGGGCTCGCTCCAGTCTGTGAGGCTGGGGACAAGCGTATGTGAAGGGGCCCAAGGACACACAAATAACAGGATCCCCCATAGGTTCCCCTCCTTTTTGGATTTTTGTCTTCCCCCCCCCCCCCTCCCATATTTCCCGATACTTTCTGGGGAATCGACGATTACTTGTGTCTGTGTTTGTTTCCCTCCTGAGTATGGGCTGCGTGGTCTGCCGAAGGGGGAGCCGTGCGACTGCTCCGCGGCCTCTTCCTCAAGACGGGGTCATTCGAAGCGGGTTCCGGCCCCAGTGCGCGCGGCCTGCCCATGATCAGCTCGCGTCGTAGAGCGACCGGAGGTGGCCGTCCTGGTGATCTTTCGGATTCGGTCGGTCCCGACCGTCGAGCGCTCGGTCAGCTGAGCTCTGCCAGTCCAAGGGAGGCACTTTTCAACTGAAAAAATGATCCCAGTGCGACCCTACCTAGGAGTTGGAGCCTCTAGGAAAGCAACATTAGTAGGAGCGGTAAACGCCGGCCGGCCGGTGCTATGTGCGAAACCTTCGTGAATCCTAAGGGCTCAAGCTGCCCCACTAAGGGCTCAAGATGGCCCACTGACGGACAACATGCATGCATGGAACATACGTGCGCACACATATATACTAGAACCACGCGCGCGCTTCGCGCGCTTAGGTTCTGTCGAGTCACAGACCCAGGAATCCTCCTCCTCCTCCTCCTCCTCCTCCTCCTCCTCCTCCTCGTCTTCCTCCTCATCCTCGTCCTTTCCCGAGCGATACAATAACAACTTGCGTGGAACCCCTCTCGGGCCCATCTTGGGGCTCTCTTGGGCCGCCTTTGGAGCCTCTTGGGGCGTCCTGGGTCTCTCGTGGGGGCTTTCTTGGAGCTCTCTTGGCGCCTCCTGGAGCCTCTTGGGGCCGAAAGCTCGGAATTCTACAGTGGCTTTCTCCCTCTGGGACCCCTCTCGGGCACGCCTTGGGGCTCTCTTAGGCCATTTTGGAGTCCAATTTTGCCGTCCTGGGCGCCTCGTGAACCGTCTTGGAACTCTCTTGGGGGCCACCTAGGCCGTCTTGGGAGCCTCTTCGGACGTGTTGGACGCGGTGAAAACCCAACAGGCGACCATGCGAAAAGTATACGTTTTCCCATAGGAATGGGACCATTTTTGCTTCTTGGACCTCTCTTGGGGTGCCTCTCGGAACGTCTTGGGCTGATTTTGGAAGCCTTTTGGCGCCTCTGGGCGGCGTTTTGGCGCCTCCTGGGATGTGTTGGGCCGGAAGCTCGGAATTCGAGAGTGGCTTTCTCCTTCTGGGACCCCTCTCGAAGTCGTCTTGGGGTTCTCTTGGGCCGTCTTGGGGCCGTCCTGAGCCACTCGTGCGCAGCCTTGGAGCGCTCCCGGAGGCCTCCTAGGCCGTCTTGGAGGCCTCTTGGGCCGTCTTGGACGCGGTGAAAGCCCAAGATGCGAACATGCGAAAAATATACGTTTCCCCATAGGAATGGCACGATTTTTGTTTCTTGGACCTCTCTTGGGGTGCCTCTCGGAACGTCTTGGGGTGCTTTTGGGAGCCTTTTGGCGCCTCTTGGCGGCATTTTGGCGCCTCCTGGAGCCTCTTGGGCCGGAAGCTCGGAATTCGAGGTTGGCTTTCTCCGTCTGGGACCCCTCTCGAACTCGTCTTGGGGCTCTCTTGGGCCGTCTTGGGGCCGTCCTGGGCCACTCGTGCGCAGCCTTGGAGCGCTCCCGGAGGCCTCGTAGACCGTCTTGGGCGCCTCTTGGGCCGTCTGGACGCGGTGAAAGCCCAAGAGGCGAACATGCGAAAAATATACGTTTTCCCATAGGAATGGCACGATTTTTGCTTCTTGGGCCTCTCTTGGGCTGCCTCTCGGAGCGTCTTGGAGGCTTCTGGGACCTTCTTGGTGTCATGACAGGCGTCTTGGAAGGCATCTGGAGCCATCGGAGCGCGTTCCGAAGCTGCCTGCGAACGATCTTGGACGGCGTCCGGCGGTCCGACGAGCCTCCGGGCCCCCCGGGGCCCACATTTGTGGTCGAGGTCTCGGCCCCGGGCCCCCGGACCCGGTGCGCCGTTATATGTATATATATATATACATACATACATATACACAAGTACATATATACATATATCTATATATGTATACATATACATATACCTATACATATACATATACATATACATACAGCAGCAGCAACAGTGGATGCTGTGCTGCGCTATGCTACGCTATGCTATGCTATGCTATGCTATGCCATGCTATGCTATGCTGTGCTGCGCAATGCTATGCTGGGCTAGGCTAGGCTAGGCTAGGCTATGCTATGCTATGCTGCGCTATGCTATGCTGCGCTATGCTATGCTATGCTATGCTATGCTATGCTATGCCATGCTATGCTATGCTATGCTATGCGTTTGCTTTGCCTTCGCTTTTGCCTTTACTCTTGCCTTTGCTTTTGCTTTCGCTTGGCACCCAGGGAGCGCAACTGGGGGAACCGCGCGTTTGCTTTTACCTTTGCTGTTGCTTTTGCTTGGCTCCCAGGGGACTGGGGGAACCGCCTGGGGCGGTTTGCACTGCCTGGCCCCATTAAGCCAAGCGAGTAAGAACCCTTCTAGGCAGAGCCTAGGTATGCAAAAACCCTATCAGACTTCCGAGGAAGTGGCGTGAAGCGTCGGACGGCGACGCCGCCGCAGATTCGGAGGACGACGACGAGGACACGAGCACAGAGGGGGGAACGAACGGCGAGGCGCAAGACGAAGCAAGGACGAGTATAGAATCGGAGGAGGATAAGTCCAGAGATTCTCAGAGCCGACGGCTCTTGAGGCTGCATCGGGCGCCACCGCCTTCTCGGAGACTTCCGGAACGCTCCGACAGCGCTCCCGAACGCTCTGGAGCGAATTTGTCGGGGGCGGCCAAGAGGGGGGTGTCCAAGGAAGGGGGGGTGCAAATCATGGCTGGCGGCATGTGCGCGGCCCAGGGGGGGCTAGGGAACGCATCGAAGTGAGAAAAGAGGCAGGCGCCACGAAATCTGGGAAAATCTCATGGCCACCGCCATGATGTCCACCCCCCCCTTTGCCATCCCCCCCCTCTCTGCCGCCCCCGAGCTCGTCCCCGCCCTCGCCCCGTCCGACGGACACCCGGGGCAGCCGGGCGCCGTCCACCGCGGGCGGGCCCCGCCGGGGCCGCCCTGCCGCGCGAGCGGCTCGCTCGCGCGGCGGGGGCCGCGCGGGCGCCTTTTTGGCTCCCGGCCGAGGCGCGGCGAGCAGGCGCAGCGCAGGGGGGGGGGGGTCGCCAGACAGGTCTTGGGGGGGGAGGGGGGTCCAGGGAGGCCCCAGGGAGGGGAGGCAGGGAGGGGGGGTCCAGGGAGTCTTCGGGGGAGGGGGGTCCAGGTCTTGGGGGGGAGGGGGGTCCAGGTCTTGGGGGGGAGGGGGGGTCCAGGGAGGCCCCAGGCGACTGGGACACGACCCGTCGAGGTCTGTCGCGCCAACGGCCGTGGAGCTTGCTCTCCCCGAACGGTCTGCAGAGACGGAGAGTCTCGGGCGGGAGCGCTGTTCCCTGGTAAGCTGACGGGAGATCTCCAGCGGCAGCCGAGTGTTATGATAAATTGTGAAGAGGTATCAAGCGGGAGACGCTGTCGTTGTAAACCGCGGGCCAAAAACGCAATCTGAGGCTCAAGATTTCCCCTTGTAAAAAACAGGGTGCGAGCCCCGGGAGGAGCACTTCAATTGGAGAAATGCAGTGGGCACTGAAAGGGATCAGCAACAATCACGATTTGTAAATGAGACCTCAACCATAAGTACAACAATAGCAACAACCACAACAATAGCAACAACCACAACAACCACAATAGCAATAAAAACAACAACAACAACAGCAAGAACAAAACAAAATTCTCCCAGTGCGACCCTACCTAGGAGTTGGAGCCTCTAAGAAAGCAACATTAGTAGAGGCGATAAACGCCGTCCTCCTCCTTCTCCTCATCGTCGTCGTTGTAGCAGTAGCGGTAGTAGTAGTAGTAGTAGTAGTAGTAGTAGTAGTAGTAGTAGTAGTAGTAGTAGTAGTAATAGTAGTAGTAGTAGTAGTAGTGGTAGTGGTAATGGTAGTGGTAGTGGTAGTGGTAGTGGTAGTGGTAGTGGTAGTGGTAGTGGTAGTGGTAGTGGTAGTAGTAGTGGTGATAGTAGTGATGATAGTAGTAGTAGTAGTAGTAGTAGTAGTAGTAGTAGTAGTAGTAGTAGTAGTAGTAGTAGTAGTAGTAGTAGTAGTAGTAGTAGTAGTAGTAGTAGTAGTAGTAGTAGTAGTAGTAGTAGTAGTAGTAGTAGTAGTAGTAGTAGTATAAGTAGTAGTAGTAGTAGTAGTAGTAGTAGTAGTAGTAGTAGTAGTCGTAGTAGTAGTAGTAGTAGTAGTAGTAGTAAT